TTGAACAACTTTGCTAATACAGGAGACTCTCCGTTAAGCAGTGTTTAAATCAGGAAATAAAATCCCCCCCACCCCCCGCCAAATTCTCCACATACTTCCTTTTAGCTTATTAACTAAGATAGAATGATACGACCTTAGAGAGGTTACTGTGACTTTCTTATCCCAGTTGTAATTCACTCCTTGGTGCTGGGAGAGGGGCCTGCCTTCTTGAAGACTGGGATTTTCATTCAGTTTCTGAACAAACTCAAGAGTTCAACTCTCTGTGAAGAAATAAAAAGGGGGAGATGGGCATTTGGGAAGGACGAAATGGTGCCTGCCATTTGCATTATCTGTAGTCATTGAAAAGAATGGGGCATTCCTACATGCCATGGATTGTATACCCTAGAAATGCCCCCATGAGAGGAAAAACAAACCTCTAAAACCAAACTTGTTGGCCTCCCTAGTGGAGAAATCATTGACCATTATTAAGTAAATCCATGAGTATACTCAGCTTGAAGGGAGCTACATATAGTTGAGTGTTTGAAAACCATAGCAACACCTGCGGATCTTGGCACCCTCATGGTTTCATGAAGGAAGTTGATGTTTATTTCTCTGTTTAAGACATAGGGAATGTCTGTTCCAACAGCAGCCCCATGGGTCTGTGTTTCAACTACTTTGGACATTAAGCTCTGGTCTCTTGAGGTGTGCCCAAGAGGGGCCCCCAAGTAATTTTTGTCATATCATGCCAGATGTACACTCTACATGGTGAAAGTCATCCATCCACCGGTTTACGCATAATGTAGTTTAAAAAAAGCAAAAGAAAACAAAACAGGAAATTAAGAGAGAGATAAGTCATAAGAGTCTTGGGAGACATGTGCCTAAAATAAAACACTGTTAACAATTTGGTGCACTTTCTTCCAGACTGTTGTCATTTATAAATAAATATAGATACATGCAAAAAAAAAAAAAAAAGAGTCTTGGGAGATACCAAAATGTTAGAACTGATTACCCTTAGGGATTGGAATTTGGTGAGGAAAGAGAAGGAAGGATACTTTCCCTTTCATTTTATAAACTCCTTTATTAAAGAAATTTTTTTTCACAATGAACACATTACTTTGGTAGTTAGAAATTATGTTAGGTGGTCTGGGCTCAATTCCAGACCTATTTAATCAGAATAGCCAAGGGTCAGTGACTGGGCAAGTACATTTATTAAAATTTACAGAGATGATTCCAATATACAGCCAGGTTTGAGAACCACAGATTACATTTACTATCTCAGGTTATGCTTTGTTTTGAGGATAAACTATTTGTATATTTTCTGTATTCTTTCATTTCTGTAATAAGATTTTTGTTAGGGGTAAAGAAAACTAGAGTGCATCAAAAACCAAAGGTTGTAAGTAGGACGTACATAGTGAATGACCTATCTCATGTTGACATCCTATCATATCCAGTACCTCAGATTTGATATTTCAGTTTCTGTTTTGAGCGATTTCCACAAACACATTGCAGAGGTACAGAATCTTTGTGAAACTGCCCTGTTGGAATGAGGTAAAGCTTTCCCTTCCTCAGAAAAATATATCTATATGTCTTTAATTTTGTCTTTTTGAAATTTGTACAGCCTTATTTTCAAAAAGATAGTATTGGTAGAGATCAGAAGGTAGCAATTACTGTCAGTGAAGTTTAGCTTTTAAAATTATTTGCAAAGTATCTGGTACCTCCTGATTAGTAGAATATATTACTTAATTCATATATAAACTGCTGTGGTGGGAATTATTTAATTAGGATGAAAATTTTTCTAAAATATTCTCTTTGGTTCATTTAAAATCAGCAAAATAAAAAGCTTTAAGATTTAAAATTACAACAAATGTGTAAAAATTTATACCATATACTTCATAATTTGAAAATAATTTGAAGCAACTAGTACTGCTTCTCATTTATTCAACAAATGCCTTTCTGTAATACTGTAATGAGAGTATTGATCTAAGTTACCTAGACTATTTAATGCAAAGTCTTTTTTTTAGTTAATGAAGTTTTATATTAATATTTATTTCCATAAAGTATACTAAACTCTGCTGTTTAAGTTATAGCTATAAAACAGCTCATTTTACATTGCTTTGCTCATTATTTCTGTCTTTAAAGTGCCATGTAATTTTCATGCTGAATAAAGGCTGGCAATTTAATGCCATCTACTAATTTAATTTTTAAAAAGAGCAAAACAAGTTTTGATGCTGCATTGCACGATAAAGGCTTCCTGCTTACAAATAATGTTATGTTTTGAGCATGACTCCAAAGATTTTTAGATAGCCTTAATATTATTTTCATATGCTTTCAAAATTAAGAATATAAAGTGTATAAACTAAGTATACTTGAGGACTAAATTGCATGATAATGTCTTTTTGCATATACTTTATATTTGCTTAAATATAAAGATTAATCATATATCCTAAAATTAAAAATATTACTTTGGAGTTCTTTCAAGGTAAAGTATATTATGATTTAAAGTATTTACGCTGGAGAGGTTTAAAAGTGTGCTAAGATTTTAAATGTATAACTGTTACAAAACTGGTGTTCATTAATTTTAAATGCTGTACTTTTTTGTAAATTTCATCCTTAATTGGTTCAAGTGTGAGTCAAATTATAGTCAAATTAACCTATGGGAGCTCTTCTTGATACAGTGACCTTTTGAAATAGTTCAGGAAGAAAAAAAGCTACACTGCTGTGAACTGATTGGCTTCTTACTAACCTAAGTGCACCCTTAATTGGAGGACAGGATCCAGGGCCCCCACCAGCCCATGTGGTGCCTGTGTACAAGTCAGAATGCTATGCCACTTTTCTTTGAGAGGACTTGGATGCATACCAGGGCAGACGGCTTGGTGAGCAGCTTGTTCACTGGGTAAATTCGTCCTCACTTGGCCAGGGACCCAATAATAGCTTTGATGGGATCAGTCACTATTCTTTATGTAATGTAGTCTTTCCCTAGTGTTCCCATATATGTTCTAGTAAGTTGTCACCAGGAACAAGGCAGTCACATGGGTCCCTATTCTGGGTCTGGGACTAGGGTTGAACTTGGGAAGAGAGTGGGTAGGAGCCTTGTGTATTTCAAGAACCAGCTAACTCTACCACTTTACACATCGGGGTTCACAAATACACATTTTTATTACCTTTTACGCTGTTTTGATTCTTTTTTCTTTGGAGGTTGTCTGTAGTATTCATTTCATCCTGATTTTCTTTGCACAAATGGTGAGAAATCACATGACATGGTTTGTTTGGCCCTCCAGCTCACACAAGGAAGGCTTAGCTGTTGCTGCACCTTGCTCCTGCAGTTTTACACGCGCAGGTTTATTTGAGTTGTGACTCGTCAGTGCTTCTGCCATTTAGAGGTGTATGGAGTTGCGTTACCTGGGGTCAGAGTGTTGCAGTTCACCATGACTCCAAACATGGAAATAACCTCTGAAATCTTAGGCTTATGTGGAAATTAGTGAGTAGAATTCACATAACTTTCAATAGGTAAAGTCACTTCTTTGGAAATATGTTAAGACAGATTGAACATGTGTCAGTAGCATCATTTCTCATCGCCACTTGACCCTTTCCACGTGCTCACCTTTACTTCTGATCCTGACGTATGACCTGGCCCTTGCCCAGACCCTTCCAGACGGCTGACATCCACCCGAAGCTCAGTACAGCCTGAGCCTGTTCTCTGCTGCTGGCCTGTCCCTCTCCTGTCTTCCAGTTCGTTCGTTCTTATTTTTCTTTCTCAGTTTGCATTGCTGGTGATTCTTCAGCCTATCATTTTCTTTCTCACGTACCTTCATGGTGAGACATGTGAGGCAGCCTGTGTCTGCCTTCCATCAATCAAAAGAAAGTTTTTTCTTATTTACAGAAAGTCACTTTAAAGTCTTTTCTTTCCATTAGCTTTCTTGGCCACAGAAACAGTTTTACCTACATATAAACACAGCATCGTATTATTTAATGGGATACATTTGACAGCTTTTTCCAACTGGTTTCCTTAAGTTCCCATTAGCCTCAGATTTGTAGAATATGATTGAGTCGTCTAGTTTCAAGTTTACAGTTTCATTACATGAGAAGAGAAATAGATCAAATAAAATGGTTTCAACAAATGTTTATGTGGATACACACACATAAATACAGATGCTTATACATATTTTGTGCTTCTGTTGGTTAATAAAGGTTTTAAATTAAGTATTTTAAAACATGCAGAGGCAGTGCTGATGTATTAAGGGTGATGTTTTCAATAGGAGGAACAAATAAGTTCTCCAAAGTGAAAGAAAATACCTGTCATTATAACAAGCCTGTAACTAGAAGATTGTGAGAGGTTTGTGATTTTTAAAAAGCTTGAAGTTTTGCAAATCCTTTTGAATTAAATCAAAATTCAAAAATAAAAATGTTTTTTACACAAGAACTCTAAATTGATAAACTGTTTAAAGGGTACTTCTTTAATCCTCACATAATCTTAGCTGGCTTTCATTGAGCAGTTAATCTTTGTATGTGGCAGGAACTATTCTGAGTGAACTGTGTGTAGAAATGCTCTTTTCTCTCACATGGCCTGGTGAGGTGTTGACCGAAGCAAGTGGCAGAGCTAAGATTTTGACTCAGAGCCCACAGCCTTAAACAGTCCTGTGGCTCAGAAGTAAAGAATCTGCTTGCAATGCAGGAGTCACAGGAAATGCAGGTTCAATCCCTGGGTCTGGAAGATCCCCTGAGGAGGCACGGCATCCCACTGCAGTATTCTTGCCTGGAGAATCCCGTGGACAGAGGAGCCTGGTGGGCTACAGTCCGTGAGGTTGCAGAGTCGGACACGACCGCGCATGCACTGAAAACAGAATAAAAGTGGTAATACCTAAAGATTAGCTATCTAGGATATGTTATAAAACATACAAGTGGGCACTTTAAGGCAGTTATTTTGCAGTTGTTAATATCTTCAAAATGCCTTTTCCCCTTAAATAGGCACTGTGTGAAATAGGCCTTGTATTTATTCCTCTGTGTGCCCTCCCGTGGCACAGATTTCCCTCCTGAAGCAGAACCTGGAGATGCAGCTTTCCCAATCTCAGACCTCCCTGCAGCAGCTGCAAGCCCAGTTTACACAGGAGCGACAGCGACTCACACAGGAGCTGGAAGACTTAGAGGAGCAGCATCAGCAGCGGCATAAGTCTTTAACAGACGCGCACGTCCTTGCATTTCAAACCATGGAAGAAGAGAAGGAAAAGGAGCAGAGAGTAAGTTTAGCTGGCACGCATTCAGACGTAACCCAACAGCCTGATCACCGTCAACCTGACGATTCTAGAGAATTCAGGTTTTGCTCCAAAAAAGTATATGTTGCTTTATTTCAGTGTGTTTCCTAGGCTATGACTTCTTGTAGGGGTCACAGTGATTAAACACACATACTAATTGTACACTGTAGGGCTTCCCTGATAGCTCAGTTGGTGAAGAATCTGCCTGCAATTCTGGAGACCCTGGTTCGATTCCTGGGTCGGGAAGATCCGCTGGAGAAGGGATAGGCTACCCACTCCAGTATTCTTGGGCTTCCCTTGTGGCTCAGCTGGTAAAGAATCCACCTGCAATGTGGGAGACTTAGGCTCGATCCCTGGGTTGGGAAGATCCTCTGGAGAAGGGAAAGGCTACCCACTACAGTATCCTGGCCTGGAGAATTCCATGGACTGTACAGTCCATGGGGTTGCAAAGAGTCAGACATGACTGAGTGACTTTCAGTTTCACTTTAATTGTACACTGTCACAGATATTTGTTATTTCTGTTCCCCGTGATAAGGCCAAGGGCATGATGAGACTAATGCTCTAGTTTGTCATGTGTTAGCAGTGATTACATAAATTTAGTCATTACTATAACCACTGTGATCTCTTAATACTGGTCTTGAACTTAGCCTTTAATCCAATTTTTAATTTTTTTCTTTTAGTCTAGATCTACAAAAGATACATGTGCCCAAAGCATTTAAAGTTTTCATCTCCATTTTTTCCCCTCATGCTTTTTCTTATGTACAGATCTCACAATGAAATGAAATTGGAGACATTTAAAAATAGTATAATTCCCTGTATACTGTTTGTATCACTATATGGTGATCACTCAGAAAAGATACATTATTGGTTTTATTATATGCCAGAATCTTCCCATATCCATTATTTAGTTCTGTGTTAAAAATGTTAGTTGGACATAGTCTTAGTGTGATTAATTTTAGTGTAGTTCATTTCTTAACACTGTATTTCTCAATTTCTTTTAAGGACTTTATGGATAATTAAGATAAAGATGTGATAGAAAAAGTTACTACTAATAATGTTTACCATCAATACTGTTACTACATATACACATTTTAATCCTTTATTTGGGTATAGACACTATTTTAAGAAATGGTATGTTATTTAAAAATTGTTAAGACAAAAATGTCACACTCTTATAAACAACTCTTAAAAACAACTAGTTTGCCTGTACAGTAAGTTTAATCTATTGATCTTGTCCAAAAAAATCAAGGGAGTTCATTTGGTTAATAACTCAACCTTAGCATTGATAAATACTCTACTCATTAGATTCCATTTGTGAATTATAATATAACACATAAGCTTACATATCAGTACTTTAATTTTATACATACAGTCTTTTCAAAACTATAATCATTTTTCAGAAGAAATCAGAACCGGCAATTTTATTGTCTGTCATTAGGTAGCCAAGCTAACCCTAAGTCATGTTGTCTGTATTCAAAGTCCTTTATTTTACCTATACTCAAAGGAACCTATACTTTATGTTTCAGAAAGAATATAAGTAGTCAAATAATTATTTTTAAAAGCAGCATTTTAGAATAGTGATTGAAGAGACACAGCCCTGCTTACAGTGCGATCGCTTTCCCGGAAACCTTTGTAGATTACGGTAAGAACCCTTCCTGGCACAGTGCAGTCTCTACACTTGAAGTACTGTGAGCTTTGTTTTTACACTCTTGTGGCCATATATCTTCGATTCGTCTTGGCCATATGTATGTAGTCTATTCCTCTGGCTAGGCTTTTAAAACTAACCACATGAAAGGCTTCAGTTCAGTTTTCCAGCTACATCCTCTCAGAGCTTTTGCTTCCGTTCATAAATGCAGGAACAAAGAAAGGATGACTGTAGGAAAACGCTACAAACACTTTTTAAGGTTGGAGTTGTAAAAGCCCTCCTCTCTTTTCCTAATCAGGAGATCTTTCCTGATCTGCCCTCCTCCACCTCTTCCCTGAGTCCAAGTTTGTTCACACAGAAGAATTATTTGTTAATTTTTGGTGGTTTACATCTCCTTAGCAGTTTAAGAAAATAGCTTTATTTGGAAACTGCCCTAGGTAAAGGGTCTGTATCTCAATACAAACACTATATATTGACTCTGATTCATGATGTTTATGCTCCTGAAGTGAGCCTGCTAGTTTATTTTCTAGTGATGATCTTATATCTGGTTTTCTTGAAATGAATTAGAGACCTGTTTTCCTTAAATAATAAATGAGTTTTAGTATTTTTTCTATTTTGTTTGCGTTTCCCTTCCTGTAGTCTAGCATAATAATTTGAGTATGTTTCTCTCATTCTAGGCTCTTGAAAGTCATTTACAACAGAAACATTCTGCAGAGCTTCAATCATTAAAAGATGCACACAGGGAATCAATGGAGGGCTTCCGGATAGAAATGGAGCAGGAACTTCAGACACTTCGGTTTGAATTAGAAGATGAAGGAAAGGCTATGCTTGGTATTTTGAAACGATTACAATCCTATCATATTTATTTTTACATCCTTCTAACTTGAAATTCAATAAGAAATTACAAAACTGTACTCTTAATTTTTGAAACCTCAAAATGACTGTCTGAGTGTTGTTCGCATTTTATTTGAAGTTACTGGATGAAGGAGCAAGTGTTGGTGGAGTAGAATGGATAGAACACAAATGGTAAAGTGAGGTTCCATCAACGTTCTCTGTACTTTGGCTGTATCAGCAACACACAGTGGTGCTTCCGTTTGTCGTTAAGAGACTAACTGGAGTTAGTCCATGACATTCAGACTTCCCACTAGCAAGTGACTGAAAGGAATAGATAAGCATGGACCCACATGTCTTTAGGCTGTATCATCATATTGGGGTTTTTTTCCCCCACTTTAGGATTTTATTTCAATGGGAAAAATCATGTTTCGGTCTGACTTTTTGTATGGGTGTTTATAGAGATTATATTAAATAGGATTTTTATCTTTGAGGTGTTAAAAATCATTACCTTTCCTATAGAAGATAATTGAGTTTGGAAAAAAACTGAAATGTATTTAAAGGGTTTTTTGTTTGTTTTTAATGTCATTCAATAACTTTTTATTCCTGTCATTTTATTTCCTTGTTTGTTTTTTTTTACACCAAATTCTCCTAATGTTTTTCGTGTCTTATGTCACGCTTCAGTGGAACATTCTTTTCAAAGTAAGAATTGAGAAAAAAGGAGACCAAAGTTGTGAATATTTGGGGCCTCAAAGGGAAAACCAGTTGACCCATTTCATCATCTCTACTATTGCTGGGAGTTCTAGGCCAGGTCGTTATAGCTCTCTCCTCTTCCTGAGGAGAGGTGAAGATGAGCCAAGTGTTGGAACCCTTGTCCACTGAAACATGATTTAAATATGTCTTTGTTGACAATAGCACTTCTTGTGATTTCTTAAACTTTTTATTTTGAGATAATTGTAGAATCACATGTGGGCATTACCTAGTGGCTCAGTAGTAAAGAATCTGCCTGCAAGGCAGGAGCCAGAGGAGCCACAGGTTTGATCCCTGGGTCAGGAAGATCTCCTGGAGAAGGGCATGACAACCCACTCCAGTATTCTTGCCTGGAGAATCCCATGGACAGAGGAGCCGGGCAGGCTGCAGTCCATAGGGTCAAATACAATGGACGTATCTTAGCATGCACACAAACCTTTTATTTTGAGATGATTCACAGGAGGCCATATATTCACATGTGGGCTTCCCTGATGGCTCAGATGGTAAAGAATCTACGTGCAATGCAGGAGACCTGGGTTTGACCCCTGGGTTGGGAAGATACCCTCGAGAAGGAAATGGCAATCTGCTCCAGTATTCCTGCCTGGAGAATCCCATGGACAGAGGAGCCTGGTGTGCTATAGTCCATGGAGTTGCAAAGAGTCGGACACAACCGAGCGACTAACACTTTCACATTCATAAGAAATAGTACGGTGAGATCCTCTGAATGCTTTACCCAGTTTCCCCCAAAGGTAACATTTTCAAAACGAAAGTGCATGTCACAGCCAGGATGTTGACATTGATGCAGACACAGAAAACACAACATTGCCATCACATGCGATCCCTACTGCCTATATATAGCCACATGTACTTTACTCCCTCCCCATCTTTAATTTCTGGCAACCATTCATCTCTTCTGCCTTTCTTTAATGTTGTCATTTTAAGAATGTTGTAAATGGAATTGTACAATATGTAACCTTTTGATATTGGCTTTTTTCCACTCAGCATAATTCTCTGCAGGTTCATTCAGGTTGTTATATGTATCAGTAGTTGTCCCCATGGTACTGACCTCTCATATTTGTTGTCTTCACCCACTGAAGGACATCCATGTGTTTTGTGCAAATTTAGGCAGGAGTTGAGTTGCAGGAGTTCTTGTGCAAATGTAGGCAGGAGTTGGTCGTATGATAATCATATGTTTAGTTTGTTAAGAAACTGCCTGTTTTCCAGACTGGTTATACCATTTTATATCCCCACCAGCAATGTATGAGTGATCGAGTTTCTTCACATCCTCACCAGCATTTGATGTGTCATTATTTTGTATTTTAGCCATTCTGGTAGGAGTGTAGTGATATCTCCCTGTAAATTTTACTTTGCATTTCCCTAATGGCTAATGGTATTGAGCATTTTTTCCACACGCTCATTTACCATTTGTGTATCTTCTTTTCCAGTTTGATTATTTCTGTTTTTACACCCATCTGTGGCTTCAGTGACCATCTATTGTGCTGTGACTCCAAATATGTATTTCTAGACCAAACTACTTTCCTTGTGAATTAGACTTACACTTTTTACAACTTTTTAGACTGTTAGGTATTCTAACTCACACTCTGTGTTTTAAAATATTAGCTCACCATCTCCCTCACTTCTAAAATATGTTTCCATTTCTGGAGTTTCCACTTGAATTTATGGTATCACTGTTTACTGAGTTGCTAAAACTATGAATCTGGGAGGTGCCTTCAACCTTTTTTCTTTTGCTTCCATATCCTGTTATTTCCTCCTCTTAAATATTCTCTGTATCTATTTCCTCTTCTTTCATCCTTCTGCCACACTTGATTCATGGTTGTACCATTTCTCACCTGAATTATTGCCACAGCCTTCTTGCTGATCTCTCTTCTACAGTCCATTCTCCAGACTCCAGTTGGGTTAATTTTTGCTAAACTCAAGTCTCACTATGTGACTTTAATCCTTCAGTGATTTCTTGTGTGCTTCCTCAAGTCCTGAAGCAGCCCAGCACCAAGGGAAACAACTTATGAGGTTCTTGGGAGGAGCCTAAATTGACTTGCTACAAGCACAGCGTTTGTTTTTTTTTTTAACAAACTTTTTTATTTTATATTGGGGTATAGCCGATTAACAATATTGTGATAGTTTCAAGTGGAGAACAAAGGGATTCAGCCATACATACACAAGTATCCATTCTCCCCCAAACTCCCCTCCCATCCAGGTTGCCACTTAACATTGAGCAGAGTTCCTGTACTAGACAGTAGGTCCTTGTTCATTACCCATTTTAAATATAGCAGTGTGTACGTGTCCATCCCAAACTAACTATCCCTCCCCCTGGTAACCATAAATTTGTTCTCTAAGAAGCATAGCATTTCTTTGAAATCTCATGTTTTAGCTTTGAAATTTGTAATTTGTATTTTACACATATCTTCAGTATTAATATAAAAACAGTGACTTTTCCAGAAATCTTCAGGTCAGATTCATGTTTCAGAAGATGTCATACATCCACGCATTTTCAGTATCTTAGTTTGAGGACCGTGAATCAGAACATGCAGTGGAAAGCATTTGTGTTAAAAAGCTTTCTCAGAACTGGGCTCTCTTGTCTATCCAGTATGACTGCTTGCTCTGTGGGTGCTTGCCATACCAAACTTTTTATAATTTGTCTGATAGACCAGGTTCTTTCTGCTTTTGCATATGTTAGCCTGCGTTACTGTGATAATTCCTTTGTGATCCTATCCCCACTTTCCCTCTCCTAGGAAATCTGGGTTCTTGGACACCACCCTGCTCTCATTATAACCCATGTTCATCTCTGATACCCCAATTAACTCCTTGACATGATGTTTTTCCCTCTAGCCTGTGCAGTTATAAAAACGAAGGTTATATCTTATTCTCCCCTTGTATAGTACCTGGCATTCAGTATGTGTGGATTTTATGAAATGATCTCAAATTCAGATAAAAATGATGACTTCCAAATCACCAGGAACATTTACCAGATAGTGCTTAACATCACTGAGTGATTTTGTGGAAGAAGTCTTACCTGACTGAGAAGTTCCCTCCTAAATATATGTTATAGTACTATTCAACTCTAAATTTATATTCTACTAGTGAGTGAGAAGAGTTTTAAAAATTTCCTTTCCGTTAGCACCTTGCTTGCAAACTGAAAGCCTATACAGAAATACCTTGATTCATTTGAGCAGCTGAAAATTTTATCCTCATCAAAGCTAGATGAACCTCTAAATTGATACTTTATGATAGTCTGTAGTAGTCTAAGAGGCATACACAATTCTATGGTATTTTAATGGAAATATATGTGTCCTAATTTTAAAAAATAATACTTTGTAAATACTTTGTAACTTTTATAATTTTTATCTAAAATACTAATATTTTTAAAATACACTAAATCTCTTTTTTCCCTTTGATACCAGCTTCCTTACGCTCCGAACTAAACCAGCAACATGCAGCTGCAATTGATTTGTTAAGGCATAATCATCATCAAGAATTGGCAGCTGCTAAAATGGAATTAGAGCGAAGCATAGACATCAGCAGAAGACAGGTAAAAGAGCCTTGTGTTCTGTGATGACTTCTTAAATGTGAACAGATTTGAAAATGTTCACAATTTTATGAAAATCATTTTGTAATAACTAGTATTTCAGTAGTAATTATTTACTGTCTAATTAAAGAGTTATTTTTAAAGAGAAATAGGTAATTTGACTTTAGTATAATGGTCAGTTTATTTTATGACCTTTCAATTGAATATTTTGAATTTTATTTGCATTTTGAGTGAACAATGAAATGTGAATAATACAACGAGTGAAAACAGAATACTATAAAACAGCAGTGTCCAGTGGAACTTGCCATGATGAAGGACCTGTTGTTTTAATATATCTGTCCTAAGGGAGTCACTAGCCAAACATGTCTAGTGTAACCAAGGACCTGATTTTTTAATTAGTTTTTATTAATTTATTTAATTGATTTCAGTTAATTTAAACTTGAATATAAATAGCCATATCAGATAGCACAGCCATAGAAGTAGCAGGTCCTCAGGAAGAAAGAAGATAATTTGTATTTCCATATCACTAGCACAGCTACTGTTCACACTTTAAATTTTTCTCATGAATACTGTCTTTAACTAGATAGTTTGTATCCTGAATATATGTCTGGATGAAATGGATTTCTAGGCATAGTACAATGAAGGCCATTTTTTATCAGTTTATTGCTAATGACTTTCACTTTGTTCTTCAAATATGTTAAATGATCAGCTCAAATTTTTCTTCATTACTCGAAAGCTTTAAATGAACTACCTTTTAACCATGGAGGTAAGTTCTATTCTCTTCAGCTAGACTGCTGCTGGAATTAACAATGTCTAGATCTGCAGAATTTGCCAAAAGCAGTGACTTCTAGGAAGATGGAAGGGAGTTTATCTGTCAGACAGGATAACTGCTTGACCAGCATGAAGCAGATAAAGTCTTCTAAGCAACAGGATGTGTGTGTTTGGGGATGGCCTTCATTAGAGGCTGGTCCTTTTTAAATTAAAGGACAATGGTACTAGCATTTTACTAGAACAATGGTTCTAGTCTCAGCTCTGCCACTGATTATAAGTAATCTTTGGACAAATCTCTCTTTGGTATTGTTTTCTTAATCAGTAAAATGAGGGAGATGTGCTTATATGGTCTTTTGAGTCCCCTGTGGCCCTGAAATTACTGAAGCTGAATCCATATAAACACTTTTTTATATATACGAGAATAGAGGTTTCCTGGTTTCAGCAGTTTGCTTTTGAAGCAATGTCAGTTTATTACATTTGACATTCCAGTATGTCATTTTCTTCCTCTTAAACAGAGAAAGTGAATAGGTAGAAAACTTTTCAGAACTATTTATTTTCCAGAGTAAGGAGCACATGTGCAGAATAACAGATCTACAAGATGAAGTAAGACACAGAGAGCATCACATCTCAGACTTGGACAAGGAGGTGCAGCACCTTCATGAAAATATAAATGCTCTAACCAAAGAACTGGAATTTAAGGGAAAAGAAATTCTCAGAATACGAAGTGAATCCAACCAACAGATGAGGTATGCCATTAATTACTGCAGAAGGAATTTGCAGTGTTACCTGAAAGACTATTGCAATGGTATTTAACAATACATGCCTATTTTTATGACTAGATAGCCTTCCAGTAAGATACTGAAGATCAGTTTTTACTTTGTTGACTATGTTATCATTTGACTGTAGAAGAAATGTCTATATTCTGAATGATGTATATGCATTTACTAACTTTTCAAATTATATATAAGTAACTAAAATCTTTTAAAAATGTTATTTAAAAAAGCATTAAAGGAGACAACTTTAACAAGCTAGAAGATTAGAGCAAAGTAAGTACTTTACTTTAGACTGTTACCAATGATTTTCTAATTTTCTGTATATTATACCTAAAAACCATTTCAAATCTGGTAGAATATAGAAAGTTTTGAAAGCTTGACTTCAGAATAACATTCTCTTAACTAAAACTAAATTAAACAGGTTGCATGAACAAGATTTAAACAAGAGACTTGAAAAAGAGCTGGATGTCATGACAGCAGACCACCTCAGAGAGAAAAATATCATGTGGGCAGATTTTAATAAGACTAACGAGCTACTCAAGGAAGTAAATGCAGCTTTACAAGTGTCGTAAGTCACTTTATGTTAAAGAAAATTCACATGTGGAGAATAAATAAATTGAGGAGCACTGTGTCTCACCTCAGGTTAGCTAGTCGTGAATTGAATTGATATTTTAAAAAGAAAACTTAATGCCATATTACAGATGGTAATTGCAATATATTATTTAATTAGAAGAAGGCAGTTGCATGAATATGTTTAATCAGCTGCTTCTGCTACAGTTGTACTAGGACAATACTTGTCCAAAGACTGTCCCTCAGGGATCATGAACTATCACGCCATGGGGAAAACTCCAGATGTGACCAGTGGGATTATTATGATCCTATATATATTAATAATACATATTTTGCAAAAATACCAAAATATCTTAAAGAGACAAATACGCCTCTTAACGGTAGTGATTCCTTGTAAGAACTAAACTAGGAGATACTGGGGATGGAGAAGAGCAAAAATGTCCATCTTATTTTGTATTACTCTGTTGACACATTGTTTGAATTCCTACAACAAGCATTTGATTGTTTTATGATTTTAAAAATCAATAAAGATAAAATATCACAAAATTACTACTTATACATAGTGGCTCCTATATAGTTAAAACCCAAAGTTCTAATTACTGGTTTATGTTTTTTTTTTTTAACTTACTCATCCTCTCTTTTTTACACTTATTTATAAACTTCTATAGCCAATGCACCTGGCATTCACTCCATCTTTGTGGCCTAAACTGTGGTCCAATTTAAGTTCTCTCAGAAATAATTTATTCTGAGCTGCATCATATGGTTTATTCACCTTCAGTCTCTCTTTTTCCAATCAATTAAAAAGGCTTCACTAAAAAATGTAAGTATTTCCACATACTTTGATAAAGTCAAAATAGTGACTTAATTCCATTACCGTCAAAGTCAAACTTTGGGCTCCGGCGTGCCTTCTCCTGCCTCATCCCACAGCCATCCGTATTCCCTGTCTGCTACTTGCGTGTCAGCCACACTGACCCCTCAGTTCCCTCTAAGAGTCTCCTGTGTGGTCCTCTACAATCTAGAATAACCTTCTCTGTCATTCCTACCTATTACCTTCTTCCAATCATCTCTCATTTCCTGCATTTAACCAGCTAAGTCTCATAGTAAATATGGTTACATATGTACCATATATGCCCACTTTCACTACAGCTGAAACAGAAAACAGCATCCCCCAACCCGGCCATTGGCATTTACTTCATTGGCCTCTGAGGTGAGGTATTCTTTCTGATGGACCTACACGGAATTTTCCCATCAGTAGGCACTCAGGGAATATTTTACAAGTAAAAATTATGAGGATTCCCTATAATATTTACTACTTCATAAAGTTACCATTGAAATGGTAGAGACTCATGAGATAATTTCCTCATAGTGGTTTTTGGTGTTTGTGGTTACCAGAGATACACTTTTTAAATCCTTTTGAGCTGCTGTTAAGAGCTCAGATACCTGCTGTGTAGAAACGCTTATATCCTCAGGCATTTTGCAGAAATGAGTTACAGTAAACCCCAGGGCTGGGCTTTCCCTTTCTCTGACCTCTGTGTTATTTATCAGGCAGAGGCTGCAAAATCTCCCACTTGATACTCTGAAAAAACATGCTCACAGTAATAATAACCTCTGTCTGTCCGTGTGTCCTGTCTCCTTAGGAATGTTAATTTACAAAGAGTAAAGGTTATATCATTTTACTTCATTCTGTTTTTTAGGGTTTTGAACATTATAAATTTTCAGTAGATAGTAAATAGTTTAATATTCAGTTTTAATCAAAGAATTAGTATTATTCATAAGTCAAGTATTTTATCTGATTTTCTAGATCTACCATTTTTTTCTGCCTCAAGTAGGTCTATGCTAAACCGACCATATTTCTTTTTTCACCTGCTACCATCATGAAATTAGCCTCTGGTTTTAGGTATCTACTCATTTAGTTAAAAACAAACACACATACAAATGTATTTAGACCAGCAACGTCTAACAGATTTTTCTGTAACAGCAAAAATGTCCAATATAGTAAATGTTAGCCACAAAGGCTGTTGAGCACTTCAGACAGTGGCTGGTGAAACCAAGGAACTGAATTTTTAACTTCATTTAATTTTAACTAATATAAATGTTAATAGCCACATATGGGCTAGTGGCTTCCATATTGAAAAGAAGAATTTTAGACAGTTGGATATTTCTGACGCATATCCTCAAATGCAGCCTGCTAGGATCTGCTGAATGGATTTAGACAGAGGTAGAATGCAGGGAGGGTCCATCTTGGTTTAAGGAACTGGGAGACAACTTTTGGACTACTTTCAGCCTGTTTCAGAGAACTAAGGGCACCCTATTAAAGTTCCTAGTCAACTACATGCTGACTTTAAAGTTTCAAAATCAGGAAAGCCCTGTGGACCCTCGGCAGTGGGTGTGGTGGAGGGACCAGAGGAACGTGGGTCCACCTGCAAGGTTGCGACTGGGAGCTGAGGGGCCTCTGAAGCAGCTGGACATTTCTTGTTTCTGTTCCTGTCCCAAGCCCTTGTTTGGACTCCAGGGAAATGAAATGGGGAACATTGTAGAAATGATGATAAGATTTCTGTATCTGTTACAGAATAATTACCAGCAATCTTCTCTAGTGCTGGGTGTTAAAGCCTTCTTAGGTTTTTGGATATTCTATCGAAATCGTTTTTTTTTTTTTAATGGTATAGTGTCTTAGTAAAAACATTGTATCTAAGAAATATGTCATGGTTTTTGTTTTAGAAACAGATGAGAGAATGGGCTAATTTTTAAAGAATTGTGTTTGTGCTAAATGTAAATATACACAGAACTTGGAGTCATGGCAGATCTATATTATGCAAAAAAAGATGATTTGCCTCAGAGACGATGATGATTTAGGTTATTTTACCTTAACTTCTCACTGTACTGAGGGCTTCCCAGGTGGCGCTAGTTAAAGAACCCACCTGCCAATGCAGGAGACATCATAAGAGACACAGGTCCTGTCCCTGGGTCGGGAAAGTCCCCTGGAGGAGGGCACGGCAAACCTTTCCAGTATTCTTGCCTGAAGAATTCCATGGACAGAGGAGTTGGGCGGGCTACAGTCCATGGGGTCACAAAGAGTTGGACACAACTGAAGCAACTTAGCCCTGTAGCACTGTACTGAAGCTGAAATATAATTTCTTCTTGGGGGGAAACACTGAGTTTCTGTTCAGTTCAGTCGCTCAGTCGTGTCCCACTCTTTGCGACCCCATGGACTACAGCTCGCCAGGCCTCCCTGTCCATCACCAACTCCCGGAGTTTACTCAAACTCATGTTCATTGAGTCGGTGATGCCATCCAACCATCTCATCCTCTGTCGTCCCCTTCTCCTCCCGCCTTCAATCTTTCCCAGCATCAGGGTCTTTTCAAATGAGTCAGGTGGCCAAAGTACTGGAGTCTCAGCTTCAGCATCAGTCCTTCCAATGAATATTCAGGACTGATTCCCTCTAGGATGGACTGGTTGGATCTCCTTGCAGTCCCAGGGAACTCTTGAGAATCTTCTCCAACACCACAGTTCAAAAGCATCAATTCTTCGGCGCTCAGCTTTTCTTCCAAGGAGTAAGCGTCTTTTAATTTCATGGCTGCAGTTACCACCTGCAGTGATTTTGGAGCCAAGAAAATAAAGTCTGTCACTGCTTCTGCACTTGGACTTTAAGTAGGTTTGTACTGTGTTGTTGTGCTCAGTTGCGTCTGACTCTTTGCGACCCCTTGGACTGTAGCCCCCTAGTCTCTTCTGTCCTTGGGATTCTCCAGGCAAAGATACTGGAGTGGGTTGCCATTTCCTCCTCCAGGGATCTTCCCGACCCAGGGATTGAACCTGTTTCTTGCTTCTCCTGCACGGGCAGGCAGATTCTTTACCACTGCGTCAGTAATCCCTAATTAAAAAGAAGTTCTCCACCACGTTAGAATTACTTACTCTTTAAAAGTTGTTTGAGTTTTTAATATAATGCCCTAATAGTTCATTGTTGTTTGATTTTTAAATTGCTGTAAAGTCATTTTCATAATCTTTGTGAGGTCAGGTTGTAGGTTGTTCTCTTGTCACAAGGTTGAGTCTGTGCCTATAATTTACGTGAAAAGAAAAGTTTAATGTTATACTGCTTGAATTACTCTATTTCCTTTCCTTAATGCTATAGAAGAAAGGTGATATAGTAGAGTTCTTTCATCATATACAATTAAAATTCTAAAATAGATACGTGACTTGTTGTTTGGCTCTAAAAGCTCAACTTACTGATTTTTTTTTTTTTTGGTCAGTTATTTTAAAAATGTAGGACTATCAACTTGGAAAATTTTTATGCAGCTTTTTAAAAGCATTCATTTTTGGTTATTGTTGTCCAGGAACCATAGACACTGACCTATATACTCTCAGAGCGGGAAAAAAAAAAAAGGGCATGTATGCCTGGTGACCCTAATTAATAATTTTGTGTGCTCTACTTCTGTCTGTTCATTCTTTGTGTTACTTCTGTTGGGAATCTGTATTTTGAGTAAAAGGCTGCATGTACTTGGCGTGGTTCCCTCAAGGCAGGCTTTAAGCTTTCCTATAAATCCTTTGGGAATTTGGTCATTTCTGTCCATGTATGATACTATTTTCTTAATATTTTTAATTGACTCATTTTAATTAATCAGCTTTTCCTGTTAAACTTTTAACTCTGCAGTTAAACCATTATTACTACTGAAAAGTATTTTTCATTATTCTAAATAGAAGCAAAGCCATAATTATATAGTTTCTGTGAAAATACAACAGTATTATTAGATCCTGGCTAGCACTGATGCCCAAGGCCTGCCTTAGAGTTGTGAAACAGTGTAATAAGCATATATGTTATGAAGGCCAGTCAAGATACACAGAACCAAACAGACTTTTCTCCTCATAATCTGAATGATTAAAGGAGAACAAACTAAAAACCATCTCCTGTATTACTAGTTGTTCACACCTAGCCTTTGGGAAGCAGGTGGCTTAGAGAATTGTGTGGGGCAACTGAGGAAAGGCTGATGGGTGTTGACTTGAGTGAATATCAGAAAAGTACCAAGTGTACTCCCCCCATCAGGAGTTTGAAATACTAGTAATTCTTGAAACACGCTTGCAAATTAAATCTTCATCATATTACTTGTTCTCTCCTTTAATGCTTTCTCATTTGTGTTTATATGGATGTTTCTTCAATTTAATCAATTATTTTTTCCATTTAATATCCAGATATCTTTAAAAAAAAAATTTGATGCTGTAAAGATATTTTGTGGAGAAGATTAACTGATAATTCTGTAGGTAAAGAATGTTAAAAACATAACACTGGAATTTTAAGTAGTGACCTTTATTATGCAGAAAGGTGGTTCAGGATCTTGACTGTTTTAGACACACTTTTCCTTGACTTCTCAGTGTACTGGTACAAAAAGATCAACATAATGGTTTAAAATAAGGCTTTAAATTTAGATTTTTTTTAATGACCATTTATTACCAGGTATTTTTGTTCAGTCTCAGGAAACAGCTCAAAAGTCTTGTACCTTACTTTTAACTGATAAAGTACTCCAGTGACACCTTGTGGCTACCCTGGTGTGAAACACAAATGCTTTTTTCCGTTTCTCAAGCTTCTCAAAACCATTGCCTGTAAAATATATAAACCTTTGCCCATACAGTGCCACGTCATGATAAAATGCAAGGTTACTGTATATGAGCTCCGTGACTTGTCACAGCAGAAGAGAAGTGAAGTTAGTGAAATTCGCCTCACACTGGACTGACAAAGTCCCAGCCGATCCTGAGATAGTTGCTCTCTAGCTCCACACTTCCCCCCCTCATACCTCCCTAACTTCCCAGGGTAGAACTTTAGCCACGGGGCTAGATAGGGAGCCAGAAATCTTATCTCCAAGTCTTTGGCTTGAGCTGAGTCAGTGGAGTTTGCTGAAAGTACTAAAATGCACAGATTCTGGTGCCCCTCTGGTATTGTGTGTGCGGGGTGATGGGAATGGCTTATCAAATCCTAGAGGATAGATCATCTAGAAGTTTCTCAATATTGAGTGAATAAATTTTTCTGTGAATCTTCATTAACTATAATTTTATTGAGGTTAAGTTTATTCTCTGTATTTTGAAAACAAGTTTGTAAAGTATTCTAACTATTTGAATATTCTGAAATTCAGAGTGCTTTTTTCTCAGACTAAGGGTCTGTGGCACTCTGCTCATAAAAGTGACCTCTGTTCTAGAATCTTCAGTGACCTTTAGTTCTGTTACCTTCTCATTTCCTCCAGGGCAGATGAACAGCCCCAGAAGGAAATACAATTCTTCTTTTTATCCAGTGAACCATTTTTTTTCTGGTTTATATGTACCAGCTGATACATGGAATTTGTAAGCTGCATTTCCCATAACCCAGGAAAGAATGATGTCATTTGTGTGTGCTTTTGTTGCCCTTTGGTCTGTATCTTTTGTCCTTTTTATATATGTTACCAGACCTTATGTCATCACACAGTATTGTATGTGTGGTAAATTCTGTCAGTAGTAAGCCTACATGTCCAGCATTGAGCCAGCATTGCTAGGTTAGTATTATTCAGTATATTATTTCTTCTACAGCACATACCTCACCTTATTCCCATGTACACTTGAATAACTTAAAAATGAGTGAATTCTTCCAAAAGTAATCTACAAAGTCTCTAATAACACCATCTACCCTTAAAGAGCCTTTAATAACACTGCCTCTATTTTTTAACTTTTCATTTTGTATTGGGGTATAGCCAATTAACAGTGTTGCGATAGTTTCAGGAGAACAGAGAAGGGACTCAGCCATACTTAAACATATACTCATTCTCCCGTAAACCCCCCTCCCCATCCAGGCTGTCACATAACATTGAGCAGAGTTCCATGAAATAACACTAACTCTTGAGGTAGTCATGTCATGATGCTTAACAAGTTTTAGCAAAAAATATTTGACTATGTAAATTTTGTGTGTTCAGCTGGACTAATTTGAAAAATATAGGCATTACAGAATAATGTCTTCTTCATACCAATGAGCTAAAGGTTTTCTTGTTTTTAGACTAGAAGAGATGGAAGAAAAATATCTAATGAGAGAATCGAAACCAGAAGATGTACAGATGATCGCAGAGTTAAAAGCCATGCTTACACAAAGAGACCAGGCCATAAAGAAACTCATGGTAAGTGTTCCGGTTTTTGCAAAGTGGGGGCTACGCTGTAACTAGCTTAGTAACTGGTAGACTGTTGGATGGGAAGATGTTTTTAAGTAATGCTAAACAAAAGTTGAAAAAGTGCAAAATATGTATTATGATTGAACATTTGTTAAAATGTTTATGAACAAGGATAAATACAATTTTATTTATTTATTTTTCCCATTTATTTTTATTAGTTGGAGGCTAATTACTTTACAATACTGTAGTGGGTTTTGTCATACATTGACATGAATCAGCCATGGATTTACATGTGTTCCCCATCCCGATCCCCTCCTCCCACCTCCCTCTCCATCCCATCCCTCTGGGTCTTCCCAGTGCACCAGGCCTGAGCACTTGTCTCAGCACCCAACCTGGGCTGGTGGTCTGTTTCACCATAGATAATATACATGTTTCGATGCTGTTCTCTCGAAACATCCCAGCCTCGCCTTCTCCCACAGAGTCCAAAAGTCTGTTCTGTGCATCTGTGTCTCTTTTTCTGTTTTGCATATAGGGTTATTGTTACCATCTTTCTAAATTCCATATATATGCATTAGTTTACTGTATTGGTCTTTATCTTTCTGGCTTACTTCACTCTGTATAATGGGCTCCATAAATACAATTTTAAAATTTAAACTTGGTATTAGGGTAAGGAGATTGTTTTTTTCAGTAATTTTTTTTAAAAAATGCTTTTTAGTACATATTGAATGTTCAGTAATATGTCATTGCCAGTGTACAGTTAGTAAACTATTGAAGTGTGTGTGTGTGTGTGTGTGTTGTACATGTAGAATTAGAATTAGATAGGAAAGAACATTCGACACATACATGCATTAGTCTGCAGTGTATACTTCCAATTAGTCATGTCAGCTTCCTAAAGTGTATTCCACCAAAACCTGATCCAAAGACATACTTCATGGAAAAAGGATTCCATTTTCTTAGGGTTTCCCTAAGAAAAGCTACTGGTTCTCTGTTGAGAGTCTCAATGCATGCTGAGGTGTTAGGGGTTCTGAGAAGTCCATCAGGGAAGAAAATACAGATTTAACAATAAATATACTACCTTCATTAGAGTCATTATTCTTCAAGAATAAAAATACACAAATGTTTTAAAATTCATAAAACATTTCGGAATCTTCTAAAATTACATGATCTGATCAGTAAGTAAAATATTGCTTTTTACTGCCACTGACAAATAAAAATCAGAGTATAACTAGAAATAGAATGCTAAGCATTCTATTTGCTCATTGATCTCTTCATAACAGCTTTGGATATTAGCATGCAAGGAGAGTCTAAGAGCATTTATATTGAAGTCCTTATTCCTTAAGGTGTTTCTTAAAGCATTTAGGAAAGCCATCCTGTTTCATGGGATTAGAAGTTCCTGCCAAAAGTAACAGGTAGTTGACTGGGGTTCATAAATGGAACCCAGGAGCGGGCATTGGAAAGACAAGAGTATGAGCTATTTCAACCCACTAACCACCCATTTTCCCAAGCTTTGTGAACATGAGCACATGCATCATAGCTTGCTCTGATAGCAGTAGATTCATGAAAAATTACCTCATATTCCATCTATGAAATCAGCAAATTTGTTACTATTTTTTATCTGTAGTAGAAATAGCTGTTTATTTTCCAGTTCTAGCCACAGAGTAGTGTACAGTCTTTTCACTACTCCCTGACTCTATGAACTGTGAGGCACGTGGGCTAAGATTAACGATGCAAATTATAGTCAGTCGTAACTAGAAGGGGGCTGAATAATCTAGTTCTACTAGAGCACAGGCCTGCCTTTCACAACACAGTGATCCATTTACTTATGTGTTTACTTCCTACAGTCTGATTGTAGGAAGCACTTGGTGAAATGAAAGGCAAAGGGCTTATCTCTGTATGGATGATTCACTTTTTCTCTATTCTGTGGTTACCACTGCTTAAATATATTGCTGTCTCAGCAGATTAGGACTCACAAATAATGATACACCATAGTGTCATCTTCATAGACGGAAACAACTCAGCCATGCACACAGCTCCATGAATACAAGTTAAGCCTAATCAAAACACACAGTCAGCCCTCTGGAAAAGAGATGGGCCACATAGAGCATTTAGCGCTAGCCTTGGAGGGAAGAGGTATGAAAGTAAGAGAGGAGTCCCAGAGCATAAGGTTTCAAAGGTGTTGAGAACTTACCAACCAGCCGACTTTAAGACCCTGGCAATTAGGTCTAGAAATCTTTGAATAATGTATATAAATTTTCATTCAAGTTTTATATTAAATTTTGAATTAAATGGCATTTATATAGTTAAGATTTAAATAGTCAATAGAAAATGTTTAAGAAATATTTGTAATTCTTTTGCATAGGAGGATAATAAATTTTATCAGCTGGAATTAGTCAATCGAGAAACTAACTTCAACAAAGTGTTTAATTCAAGTCCTACGGTTGGTGTTATTAATCCACTGATGAAGGTATGTGCTGTAAACATTGTAAAATAGGAATGTGGTTTAAAACTTGATTAAAATTTTTATCAAATATTTAGAGCAGCATAGGATAAAGCTTCCAAAAAGTGTTTCCTTAAATTTAATAATCTAGGACTAAATCTATGAATTCTTTGTGTACTAATTTTCAGAATGAGATGCTAGTAATATTCATTTATTTGCTGAGAATTCATATTCCTTGAAACAATGTTTTATTAACATTGTAAAACCTTGGTTATATCATTTCATTTTTCTTATCTATTTTTTTTTTTTAAAGCTAACTTCTGAGTCTTTTCAAGATAATTTCCATCATTTCCTTAGTGTTCACTATCCTCTGGGGAATCTTGAAAAGTACTCCAAGCAGTGTATCCCCAACAGCTCTCCCTGCCATAATGGGCCTTGGGTTGGACATGTGTTTTCTTACCTACTCGTCTTCAGAGAATGGCGTTATTTCTCATGGCCTTATCACCTTTTTTGACGATTAAAATTGAAAATGACCTGTTCTAACATTCTGTTGCTGTCTTAGGACAGATAGAAGAGCCTTGTAGACAAATGAAATGGACGTGGCTAAGCCTTGTACCTCTTGGTACCCCAGCCTACTCCCTTCATGGTGCTATAGGTATAGTGGGTATTTAGTAAATATTTGTTCAGTAGCAAAATGTCATATTTTCTTATAAACTAGAACAAACCACTCTAGTGAATAAAGCAAGTAATAAAAAATAGTTATGTATGTTGGCTTTATAGGAATTACATATCTTTTAGCATAAATCAGTAGTAGAAATAAAAATGCCAGTGCTAAAGCTGTTTTTTTTTCCAATTCAGATTTCATTAATTTTCACATCATACCTAATTTCTCTTAGGCCCTTAGCCAGAAAAACTTCTGCTTTTCAAGTTCATAAAACTTCTGTGAAGAAGATGGGATTTATCCTTCCTTCACAAGTTAAACTGCTTCAAACTTTAAACTGTTTTCTAAAATGACTTAAATGATTTGTAAAATGGAATGGCATATAGAGCCTTCTCAAAAAAATAATTGATGAATGAATGAATATAGTTAGTTTCAGTTTTGAAATTCATTATTTAGGGTGACATAAGCTTTTAATTAAAAAACTAGGTTAGGAGACTTGTTAAAACAAGATTAGAAATATTTTCTTTTTTACTTATTTTATAAGAATTACATTTTTAGTCACAAAATCATTATTGTAGAATGTTGCCAATGATAGTTTTGATTTCTTAAAATAAAAAACTTAAGTAGTTTTGATTGTGCCCTCTTATGACTAGAACAAGAAAATGCCAAAGAAAATTTTGACTCCTAATAGTGACTCGGTTTTCACAAATTCTGAAGATGGTATCACCCTTTATTTTTGCAGTTATGCTAAAATAGGCTTCTTTCCTGGGACTTTATGATTCACAGAAAATGACACAGAGGACAATGTCTAGATAATGAGACCATTATATGTAAGGAAAAGGACCTTGTCTTTTTTTTAAATTCTGGAGTCATCTTACAAAAAAATTATTTCATACATTTAATTAGCATACTTTTAGTCAGTAAAAGATGGAAATATTCAAAATATCATACATGTTAATTTTTATTCCACATAGCAAGATGATGTTCATTGATTCTACAAATGAATAGAGCTTAAAGCTAATGATTTGAAAGCCAATAGATTTTAATAATCCACAGTTGTATTGCTGTTTTCATCTGTCAGTTTTAAAGGCCAGTTAAAAGATGACACTGATCACTTTTGTCTTATAACTCTTAAATTTCTTAAAAGATTGTGAGCTAATTATGATACTACCAATGAATTGGTAAATGAGACTTAAGTATACAGATTTCTTTTTCCCTCTTCAGAGAGATGGTATAGTGAATTTAAAACCAAATTATTTCTCTAGGTCAGCTCTAAGTCCTAGGTAGAGATGTGAAACTTGTTTCAAACTAACCTTGCCAAGCATTTTCTCATTCCTTTTATTTTCCAGGCAAGGACTGCCTCCCTTTGACAGATGGCTAAAGTTCACGGACCTCTCTTTTAAAATTATGTTAACTTTTCACCTTTTCCTCATTTTAGCCTAAACCCATTCAACCTCGTGAGATCCATGAGATGTACTCTTTCCTCCTTTCCCCCTTGGCCTTCTCTATAACCCACCCTCCTCCCCAGGAACCATTCCTAAACATTTCTTCCTCATTCTTTCTGTCCGAGCAGTATGTCTGTCTGTGAGGGTTCCAAGTAGATAAAGATCACCTCCAAAGATCCCCAGACCACACTTTGGGTAACACTGGTTCATTTTAACATCCAGCTTCCAAAATTTTCCCATGCCAAATTTATATCTTCTACTCTTCTGTTTTCTCATTCGTCCTCATGCAGGCACTATCCTCACATGTATTATTTTTAATGCAGCAAAAGAAGAAGAATGATAAGTCACCCACAAACAGGTTTGTGAGTGTTCCCAATCTAAGTGCTCTGGAATCTGGTGGAGTGGGCAATGGACATCCTAACCGCCTGGATCCCATTCCTAACTCTCCCGTCCATGATATTGAGTTCAACAACAGCAAACCACTTCCTCAGCCCGTGCCACCCAAAGAGCCCAAGACATTTCTGAGGTGAGCCCCGTCTCACCAGTGCTGTTTTTTCTTTTTTAACTTGAGAAATTTACCTTCTTACATTGCAGAAATCTACTACTTTAAGAACAGCCTAGCAAAAGAAATTTTATTGTGAAATATTTTCAAAATATATTTATCAGCTCTCTAGAGAACTCCTTTTTGACTGTTGAAAAAGATTTTTTTCTATTTTGTTGTCAGTCAATTTTCTAAATGCTTAAAGAGGTGCTAATGTAATTATATGCTTAGAATTTTAATATGTATGGACCGTTGCTTCATTTTTAGAATTATCACCAATTTTTCATTAACAACCCATCCTTATTACAGAAATTCAAAATATTTTTTACTAAGTGGCTTTTGCTTCTTATCTGTTTATCTTCCCCTTGCTTATTTATAAACATATATGCTTCTTGCCAACATAAAAAAATATATAAGCTCTGGGAACTTAATGATAAAAGTAGGAAATGAGAAGAAAAGTTTTGTAATTACCATTCCAGTTTATCTCAGAGTTCTCAAGTAAATGTATTAACATGTAAAATTAGAATGAAATTATTTGTTTACTCATGAAATAATTAAAGTCAGAAAGTACTGTCATTTTATGCTTACTATTACTGATTTTGTGCTGTTTTAAAATTTTTTGACTTGTTCTTACTAAATCTCTGTGTCACTAGTAATAATCTTACAGGTAAACTACTTTTTTTTCTAAACTGATTAATGACATTATTTCAAATAGAAAAGACGATAGCAAGAATGAAAAATAGTCAAATACACGTGTGAATGTGTCTCCTGCTAAATACCTTGTGTTGCTTATTTTCCCTCGTGCATGGGTACGTTCAGGTATCATTAAGATGCATGTGCATGGGCTCAAGGAACATGGCCACTGGAGTTTCCATTACACATTGTTGCGTGCCTTGTAATTTCCCCCAGAGACGGTAGGGATGCTTTTATTTTCTTAACTAGCCCAAAGAATCTTTAGTTAGAGTTAAGATAAGTATAAAGTATGTAACTTTGAAGATGGAGGGGAAATTGGCTTTTTAATACACTCCTTTCCCCTAGAGTATCTGCTTGTGGAATTATGAAAGTTTAAATATACATACAGAAAAATATTATACCATGGTTTAGTCACTTAAATTAGTTATATTTAAGTATTTCTGTAAGAAATACTTGTGTCAGATTCTAAAAAAATTTTTAATGAAAAGCAAAAAGGTGCTGAACGAGAAGAATGTTATCTTATTCTTATTTCCCGCAGTTCCTCCTGAACTTTTTTGTTCAAAGAAGGTCACGTTACTTTTCTCAACTGTCTGATTTTTTGGGTTTTTTTTTTTTTTTTTTTTTTAATTGTTGTGTAACGTGGCTTCTCCTTAACGGACTTCATCTGAACTGCTTCTGCACTCTCCTGGAGTGGGGACCACCACCTAGTATAGAGGAAATAGCCAAGCTTTAAAATGCATCTCCTAACTTAGGGAACTAGTTGTGGTTGTCTGCCCTAATGTTTTATGTGCTTTTCCCTTCATTTTGCAAAACAGCTTAACGCTGGGTCACATGTCTCTCTCTTTATGAATCCAGTCCTCCTCAGAGTGAAGCTTCCCCGGTGGTTTCTCCAGATCCCCAGCGCCAGGAGTGGTTTGCCCGGTACTTCACATTCTGAAAGAACTGGCTTGGCACATTCTGTGTGGACTCTGACTAAGAGCATGACCTTATACAGATCATTATGTGAGCAGGCTCTCCTGTGTTCACACACTGTGAGAAAGTATGTGTCTCTCCAGTGGAAAATGCCCTGTACGTCCTGTGATATTTATTGGACTCACTCTAAGGTACTATATTATGTGTGTAATCATAACAGTTATTTTTATTTGAGATGGAAGAATCTTTAACCTTTGTAATGACTGCATAATAAATTTTGTTAGAACAAACAATGTTTTTCTTTTTTCTAGTAAGTTTCTTGGTAATTTTTAAATACTTTTAAATTCCAGGTAAGACTTGCCAGAAAAAGTTTCACTGCATGATAATCATGAAATATTATTTTACTTCAATAATAGCAAAGTCGGGATAGGGAGATAAATGTTATAACCTATTCATTTGTTGCATTACCATGTAAAACTAAAGTGTGTTCTCTAAATTTAGAAGGCTAGAATGAAAACACTTGTGGAAATTATGGACTTCCAAGTATATAAAATACTGCCAACTTATGTTTTTGAAGTTATTCTGATAGTTAAGGACCTAGAGTTTGTAGTACAGCATCCATGCTCAGTATTAAGAAGCCAGCTTGTTAGTTTTCTACATAGGCAATTTAGTATTGACACATGAACATGGACAAGTAACCATTATCACATGTTAATGACAGCTTTTTAAAGTTTTCAGTACACCTTGGCAGGCTACTACATTGTATCCTGTGGCCTGAAAGAGTGTATCCATTTCTAAGGGTGCTAAAGTTAGTTGATTCAGTAATGTAGATTTTAGAAGATTCTGGGTGAACATTCATATAAACATCTATGAATAATTATAATAATGTTAAAGACCAACTTTTTAAATGGCTGCTACATGTCAGGCACTGTGCTGAGAGGCCAGAAGAAAGATTATCATTTAATCCTCACACAATCTTCAAGGAATAAACCATTGCATTTGAGTATGTGGAGCTGGTAGTGTGTTGTTTATCCTGAAAAAAAAGCTTTTACCAAATGCTTGAACTTTTTCTTCAACTAAGAGACTGAATTTTCTAACAAAAAATGTTAATGCTTATTTCAGAAAATAGTTATAAGCTCATTTTTCTTGCCCCTTGTTTATGCATATCTCATAATTTGGACATTTACTTATCAAGGATTTGATGACTAGAACTCCTGCAGGTGACTATGCTAGATATGGACATACAAAGATGATGAACACCTGTCCATGAGGAGCTAATCATACACTTGCTGAAATAGCCTAAAACCAAACCTTTCTTTTTTTAATAGCAGCATCAGAAGGGCCACAAATCAGTATATAACGGGAGCAGGGAGGAGGAAGTGAGTTCTACCTAAGTGGTGACTGCTTGCCTGTGATATCAAGCTAACTAAGCTGGATGTGGGAGTGGTACCCAAGTATAATATTTAAGAATGAGCAGCAATTAACCAGATAGACCAAAGGTGAGGCTGTTTAAGGTACAAGCTGAAACGACAGGAAAGAGCAGGCCAGCTGCATCCAGAGAACTCAGTATAATCCTGTAGGACCATGGAACATAATAAGCGTTGCCATTTCTTGAGCATCTGCCTTATAATTAGAGAGTATAATTGTAACATTTTTAACCCTTCAGCCACCCAGATGAAGAACCTGAACTCCCCCTCTTTGAGCCCTCCCCACACCTTACTCACAGGAACTAGGGAAGGCTGAAACCGAGACCCTATGCCGCAGCTGTCCTGCAGTGCTTCGTTAGAAATCCAACTTGATCCTCTAGATTTTAAGCAGGTAGTAAATAGCATGTTTAGGCTTTTAATTGTTGAAAATCATTTCAAAATCGGCCAAAAGCATATTGGCTGCAACTTGTTCAGAAAAGATGGGGCCCTGACTAACAGTACGACTGATCCAAAATATATTGAACTGGTTCAGATGAAGACTGAAAGGAAGAATTGTTAATGGGCATGGAAATGAGGGACTGAAGAGTGAAAATGTAGAACTGGTGGGAATTGGTGATAAATGTTTGTGGCACATGAAAGAAAATGAAGTGTGGGCTAAAGATGCAGTATGATTTCAGGTGTACTGAAATTAAAGTTTCTCTGGAATAATAGAAGCAGTTAAACACAAGGGTCTGGAGTATGGCAAGTGTGAGCTTGAAAAAGCCAAAGGTATGTGGACGAAAACAACAGGGAATAGAGTTGGGCACAGAACTTTGGGGGACACCAGCACTTAGAGGGCAGAATGAGAAGTAGAGTTACAGATCCCAAAAAGCACGATGTTGTGGAAGAAAGATGTTCAGAGAGAGCGCAGCCAACCAGCAGTGCCGAGTGCTGTAGAGATCAGGAAAGGGGAATAATGAGACGTGCCCATTGGCTCCGACCACCACAAAATGGTCTTAGCAAAAATGGGGTAAATGGTGGCAACAAAAGCTAAGTTCCAGAGAAGTGAGGTGAGAGGAAATTTAGAGAGTGAGTGAAAACCGCTCTTTGAAGAAACTTGGCTACACAGGTAAGAGGGTGCTAAGGAAAAGGAAATGTGGGGGCAGATGTGTTTTGTCATATTTTGGTACTGGGGAGGGAGAGGAGACAAGTAGCAATTTTGTAACAACCTTCAACCGTGTCCGAGTTACATGTCCTAACATTCAAGAGATGGCCAGAGAAGTCTCATAACACTGTTAACACTGATGGAAGCAAAGTTTCAGCAAAACATTTTGATAGAATATGAGAAGCAACATGGAATCCTAGAATCCTGGAGATAGAGGAGGCCATTCTCTCCTGCTGTCCCGTAGAATGCTTGAATCTTGCCTGTAACATCCCCGAGTGAACTTGCGTCCTTCAGTGATAGGAGGCTCACCTCTGAGGCCCCCTCCCTCCCCACTGGCTCTGCAGGCAACTAGTGTCAAGTACGTCTGTGACTCATTCTCCTGGGCTCTGTAGTAAGATGCATACTCTTTACCTTCCTACAAACATAATGAGAGAGTTTGAGAAAGGTATAAATTACCATGGGTGAGTCGTCAGTTGTCTGGGAGTAGAGCAGGCATACTAGAGAAGTGTAAAAGGGTTGTCAGGCAGTGGCTGAGCTCAGAGGCTGTGTGTTTACACTGACACCCGGCAGCATGATTGTGCTCTTTGACCAGCTACTTGGACACAGGTTTACAGTAGTTACACATAACCAGGATTAGGGTTTTGTTCGGTAAGTACAACAGAAGGAAGAAAGAGGAACAAGACTGTTACGCTATAATTTTAGAAGTAAAGCCACAGTGGACAAATATTATCAATTGCCTTGCCAAAGGGTCTGGTCACCAATTTCCACTGTGTGTCGGAGGTATTTCCCTGCACATCCAAGCAATTCTCTGACACCAGCTGGGTGTCTTATGATTCAACCCAATTCTGACACCACTTACCCAGAGATGACATCAGATTCCACACGTTAAGGGCTCAATCCTATAAGACTACCCTCCACTTCACTTGCCAATCATAAGCCCAGGTTATTACTGGCTATAAACCAGAGGTTTCGTGATCCCTTCCTTGGGTTTGATTAATTTGCTAGAGAGGCTCACATAACTTAGGAAACCTGTTTACTCACTAAATTACTGATTTATTACAAAGGATATTAAAGGATATAAATCAACTACCAGATTAAAAAAAAAATATATATATATATATATAGTATGAGGTTCCAAACAAAGGAGCTTCTGTCCCAGTGGAGTTAGGGGCCCAGCATGGTGGGCCCACGAAAGAGTTCTGGTTCCCCAACCTAGAAGCTCTCTGAGCCTAGTCAAAATCTCTTTGAAATAGAATAGATATCCAGAAGCAAACTCTCACATTTGGGTCAAATGATTTTTGACAAGGATGCTAAGATCATTCAATTGAGAAAGTACAGTCTTTCAATAAATGGTGCTAGGAAAAACTGGATATCCACATAAAGAGTGAACATGAACTCTTAGACCTGATTACACCTTAAGTGGATCAAAGACCCAAATGAAAAATAAAACTAAATCTCTTAGAAGAAAACAGGTAAGGTAAACCTTCATGACCTTGGATTTGGCAATGATTTATTTGATATGACACCAAAAGTTCAGATAACCAACGCACAAAGATAAATTGAACTTCATCAAAATTAGCATTTGTGCAGCAAAGGACACTACTAACAGTGAAAAAACACAACCCCCAAAATAGGAAAGAATAATTATAAAGCATATACCTGTAAGGGATTAATACCCAGACTGCAAAAAGAATTACTAAAACTCAACCAAAAAACAAAAGTGGATAACAGACATAAATAGACATTTCTCCAAAGAAGATATACAAATGGCCAATAAGTACTTGATGCTCAACATCACTAGCCATTAGAAAAATGTAAGTCAAAAACCACAATAAGATACTACTTCATGCCCATTAGGGTGGCTTTTTATTAATTTTTTTTAAAAGGGGAGAAAAATCAAGAATGTGGAAAAATTGAAGCCCTTCTGCACTGCTAGTCAGAATGTAAAATGGTAGAGTTGCTGTAGAAAATAGTCCACCAGTTCCTCAACTCTTTAATCATAAAATTATCATATGGTCCAACAATCCCACTACTAGGTATATTCCCAAAAGCAGAATTGAAAGCAGGAACTCAAACATATACCTGCATACCAATGGCCATAGCAGCATTATTCACAATAGCCAAAAAGTTGAAGTAATCCACGTGTCCATTAACAGATGAGTGGATAGCTAAATACAGCCTTTCCCTCCTGTCGTAGGGAATATCTTTGGTTCAATCTCCTGTGGGTCTTCTTTACTCCATATACAAAACACTATTTCAGGTCACCAAATGTGTGGGTTTTTTCCACAACATGGCACCAGCTGGGTGTCCTACAGTGTAACTCCAGGCCACACACACACATGCTTCGGATGTCCGTCCGAAGCCCAGGTGCTCCCAACCAACTAGAGATTCTAATGACCCCCTCTTAGATTTGATTAATTTGCTAGAGAGGCTCACCGAACTCAGGGAAACACA